AGTCATGTCATGCTTTTTAAAGCAGCAAACATCAAACAAACATCAAACAGCAAACATACTGAAAGGCCGCTGTAACTGACCATGTTCCCCTTGTTAATTATCAGGTCATTAAATGCATACCTGAATGACTGCCAATGATATGTACACATCAGTCTGCATTGTTTCAAATATTTCAGTTGATGTGTTCCCGTTACATCGAATGTCACGCTCGCAGCTTCCGTTATCCTCACTTCTGGTACCATATCCAAGGGTTGGAAAACGCTCAGCAGCTGGTAGTGCACGAGAGTGAGTTTGCGTGGCAGCCATTTCTATTAAAACGTACTAAATTCAGCTTGATTAGTAACTTAAGATGTTCGTAATCACTAAGAATTTCTTTGAAATAAGAGAGTACGGTAATGGCTTTTAACCAATGAAAACCAGGATTTTCTGACTCAGATGAAAACTTTATAATAATGGCACAAACTGAACTCCCGCGTTTCAGGTCGGACATAGACATCCCTTCAAAGCGAATATACGTTGCTCGTGTCGGAAAAAGAGCTTTTATGTATACAGCACGTGTTGGAAAATAGCTTTTATCATTTCGTTCACCTGTATACTGTGATAAGATCATTGCAGCGTTTCAGTAGAGCTTTGAAAGTTCTTCGAATAAATATTGTTGAGAGGCATGGAACAAGGCAGAACGGAACCCTTACTTACGTACTAGTGCACACTTGAAAAGAATGTATACCTGACATTTCATCACTTTAGATTTGCCCTTCATGTTAGTGTCTTGCTTGTCGTTATCTTCAAGAAACACATTCCGTGTTGTTTCTTCCTATGGTAGGATGAATAATGTCTTTATGGACTTCAACACTCATTTGTAACTTTAATGTGTAGAAGATCCATAGAGATAAGATAGCAAAGGTCGACTGTTTGTAGATCAAAATGGAATTTGTTTGTTCCACAAGCTTTTTGTGACATTGGGAAAGCGCTTACATTCCCACTTAACTGCTGCTATATGTTCAAACTAAAAGTCTGCGCATCTTTACGGTTTTTGACTACAAGGTGCGCCGAAAGTTGACCCACCAAACTTTGCAGCAGTGCCACGAATAAGTCTCTGAAAAAAATGGACTTCTTATGGCTCGTTGGGCTCATCACCCGTTGCTTCGAATGCTTAAATGTTCGTGCACCATCTATTCAAAAACAAAACGCGCGGCTAGATACATACATTTAACTTAATGACAAGAAAACCACATTGCAGAAATCGAGCTACGAAAGTACCTAAACTAAAGAAAAGTGAGATGCTGGACGACCGCCTCGTCCCGAACCGCCGATGATCACCAGCTATGAGCACGACATCAGAGGATGCTACGAGGGTCTAAATTGTCTTTGCGAAGGATAAGTACGACCCCGTTTCGCTCCATTACCGTTCACAAATAAGGTCCAAGCTTTCCTCGTGCTTCAGCGCGGCTCAGTCCAAAAGTTTCAGCGATTGCTTTCTTCAACCATTAGAAACAAAACTTCATCCGCGGGAGCTTACTGGTAAACCTCCAAGCACAATTGATAAGAGTAATAGAAAAAGAAAAGAAATATCAAAGTGAAGTCCTGAAGTCAAAGAGGCTTATACTCTCGTTGCTCGGCCCTACATAGCCTTGAACGCGCCTTGAACGGCTTTGAACCTTGGCCTTGAACGCGCCCAGCGAAAAGTGCGGGCGCAAACACGGTAGCGCAGCCGATTCACCGCATGCAGTAAACTATAGCAGTGGAGTATATGCAGTAACGCAGTACTATGAAAAACGTCGTTTTCTTCGTCTTTT